ACTCGCCTAGCATGAGTGGGGCCGGGTCGATCCTCAGCACCACATAAAAATAAAGGTATGTGTTGTGTCCATGTACACCTAAAAAATAAATTTTAAAAAATTAAAAAAAAAAAAGAATAAGATAAAGACAAACTAAAAACTCTTTGAAGATGTTACAACTGAAAAGTACATTTTCTGGGGCAGAAATTTTGTGTTCTTGGAATTCATCATAACATAGAATCTACAGTATTGACTGTGAATGAAAATTCTGTTTTGACTTTATAAAATACATGTATGCTAAAAATTGTTTCTTTCTACTCAGGATGGTAAACACTGGAATACCACCTGTGTTGACGTATAAAAATTCATTCAACTCCTGGGGAAAAAAAGACAAAAGGGAAATTTTATTTATTTTTTAATTCTTTTTGAGAGAGAGAGAGAAAGAGAGATTTTTTTTTTAACATTTATTTTTCAGTTTTCGGTGGACACAACATCTTTATTTTATTTGTATGTGGTGCTGAGGATCGAACCCAGCACTGCGCACATGCCAGGCGAGCGCGTTACCGCTTGAGCCACATCCCCAGGCCAAAAGGGAAATTTTAAACCAGATTTGTTACCTTCCATCTGTGGAGATAACTCACCTCAAAAGCTATCTAAGTGTTCCTCACAAATTCTTTTTAATCTGAGCCCAAGAACCTTGGTTTGCGTTTATAATTTCTGCTTATACATCTTGCTGATACTTACGGTTTTTGCTCCTTCGAATTATAAGGTACTACTTCGGTTTTCTTCCTTCAAAATCAGCAGATAGGCTTTTACTCCCAGGTAGCATCCTTACTTCGATCCTTCACATTGGGCTTGCTGGCTCTCAAATATCTTACTTTACGAAGACCATCTGTATGGCATCTTCCCTTACTTTTCTAGCTTCTTGTTTCATTTGCCTGTTTTAAGCTATGACAGTCAGTATGAATTTAGAGCACTGTTCTCACTTTTCTGAAATATTATTTTCATTGGTCATTAGCAAAATGATAAAGTGAAAGTAGATTAGTAAAAGATAAATTGACCCTTCTTAGGACTCTATTCTTAGATTTTTGTGCTTCTTTATAGATTTGACATTAAAATACTGTGTTCTGTACTTTCTAAAGTGACAAACAGGAAAAGATAGGGAAAAAATATTTTCTTAACAAAATTATGAATTGATGATCATAGTGTCTTTCTGAAATTTATGGCCAGTGAGATAAGAAAGTCTGTCAAGATTTGACCTGCTAGAGAAAGCCACTGGAAAAATTCTGTCTAGCCTTCCTCTCTGTTGTTTTTGCTTTTAACAAATCAGGCGATTTATTAACCTGTTTGTTCTAATACTTCTTGTTGGCAGCTGCCACCAGACTGGTGATTCTATCTGGATCTCTCTGCCCTTAAGGTATCAGTTTACAACCTCCAACTTGGTCCTTTTCCACCATTATCAGCCTCTCCTGGGCTTGGAGGACTCTGTGGACCAAGTCAAGAGCCTTAGCTGAAGTGGCTGGGCATGACCTCGTCTCTCTAAGGTCCCCCATAGATCTTGGTCATGGAACCAACTGCAGCACCGCCCTGGAGGTACAGGTACTATGCTGTGAAAGCTGCTTGTGTGCGGTTCTCTTCTTAGGAAGCAACCTCTTTGTTTTTGGCCCGCTTGACTTCATCTACCCTTTGGAGACTTTCAACTTCCAGGACTTGTTGAGGACAGCTGCCAGAGCTCTGAGAGACTCCTTCTGGTTTCCATCTTTCATAGTAACTCCAGGCATCCTGTGGCCTCCTGCTCCCAGCCAGGAGAAAGGGGTCTCTGGGTTGCTTTTGGTTTTGTTTTCCCAAAGTGGACATATATGTAACCTCCCTCCTTCACTAGATTGTTGATATAAAATGAGTAACAGTAATTCAGGAAGACTCATTCATTGGATTTACTTCAGAATAAGTAAATCCTAAATCCTAAGATGATAGTGTAGGGAGGAACAACCTATGATATGGCAAGTATTGGCTCTAAGTTGGTAATTGTTAAACTAGATAGTGGATATAGGGGGTTCATTATACCATTATTTCTGCTTTCTGTTTGAAAAATTCCATTTAAAAAGTTTTTTTTTTTTTTTTTTTAAAGTGAGGCTATTTAAGGAGATTGGTGAAGGCATAGTTTCTCATGTCTTTTTAAGCACCCTTAGCAGCTAAAATGATTCCTATGTTGAATTCCTCCTAAAATATAAAGCAGTGAAAGCTGGGCTGCTGTGGTTGAAGAAGAACAGGAGGCCTGGAGCCTGTTTGGTCTCATCACTCACCCTTTGAGGCTCCTCTTAGGAAACCCACCAGCCTCTACTCCTGCTATTTCCCTCCTGTTTCTCTGAAAATGGAGCCCCTCCTCCTGTTGAAGTCCAACTGTCTTGGCATGTCTAGGATCCATTGGCTTCCGCCCTCTAAAGAGTTTTGCAGCTTTAGGTCCTAATTTGTATCTTTTCTGCTCTTTAAAAACATTGCCATCAGTGTCCTCACATGCTGTAGTATTTCCTACCTTTCAAAACAGAACAAAAATTCTTCCGTTAATTTCATATTCCCTCCATCCACACCCAGTCTCTGGCACCATTCATAATGTCCCTTAATACCCAAACCTTGAAAGAGTTGTCTGCACTTGCAGTGTCCACTTCCTTACCTAGCACTTCTCAACACCGTAGGGTATGTGTTCCGTTCCCATGAGACCTGCTCTTGGCAAGGCGGTCCTCCTCCTCCTCCAGTTGTAAATGCTTTCTGCCCTATACCACCTCCTCATGCATCTGGACAAGGCTCTTTCCATTTGCTTCCTTCACAACCTGATCTTTTTATCAGCTTTACCTCAAAATTAATTTTCTCACCTTTGCTACCAACACAGGCTGCATGTTATAATTGTGGGGTTTTTGTTGTTGTTGTTTTGTTTTGTTTTTGTGTGTGTGTGGGTTGCTTGGAATGAAAACCAGGGCCTCATGCATGCTAGGCAAGTGCTTTACCACTGAGCCACATTCCCAACTCTGTTGAAATGGTTATTTCCTTCTGCTTTTATCATCCCCATTCATTTTTTACTCAGCAGCCAAAGCCATGTTTTTAAATATATGGTAGACCATATCATTCCCCCCTTAAAATTCTGCCAAATAATTCGCTTGACTGATGAGGCTCTGTGGAATCCAGCCATTTTCTATCTACCTGCTTTACCTAGCCTTCCCTTTCCTGATGTGTTCCAAACATACCAGCCTCCTTTTCATTTTTGCCTCATACCAATCTCATACTCACTTCTGAGTGTCTTTACATGTTCTTCCCTTGTCTGGAGTGCATGGTCTCTGAGGAGTCTCAGTTTAAATGCTACATCCTCAGGTGTTCCCAGGTGACCCCATCTAAGCATGTTCCCTCACACCCACATGTTCTCTGCATAGAGCACCACCTTGTCTCTTCAGTAGCACTTTCTAAACAATACAGGCTGCATTGCTATAATTGTGTACTTACATGTTTATGAGTTTTGTTTCCCTCATCAGATAGGAAGTTCCCTGACAGTTGGAACCACAACTGTGTTCTTACCCCCGTGAACTCAGCCCAGTGCCTGACATAGAGTTGGCACTGAGTAAGTGTGGGCAACTGATGCATGGAGAGTGAATGAGTCAAGGAAAGGCTTCATGGGCCTTGGAATGCTGACCCCTCTTCAGGACCATATTCACACTCAGGCTATACTGGAAGACCCACAGCTTTTGTCAAGGATTATTATAAAGCCATATAAACTTGATTTTACAGATTTTATACACATAGTTGATGAGAACATTGTTATATGGTTCAGGATACATATTAAGGTTCACGTTATAAATTTCTGTAGAAATTAGTGTTGCACCTGAAAGAATTTTTTAATCTTTCTCCTTTCTGATATGATCACATTTCTGTCTTTGCCATTTCTTCCTGGATGTTCAAAGAAAAAATCAAGGTTCAATCACATTAACTCAGGATTGGCTTTAATAAAAGTGTCTTATGAGAGAGCCACAGGTTATAGGGTCAAAGCTGTTTGAAATTTAGTTCTGTCACTGTTTCTGTGGCAAGAATCTTAAACTCTGCTATATCTGTACAATGGGGATGGCATCTACCTTGCAGTTGCTAAAGTGCCTGGACTATAGGTGCACTTAGTAGATGTTTTTTCTTCGGCCTCCCCTTTTCTGTTATATAAGTAAAACATAAATTGCCTCATATCCTTTTTGGAAACTGTATGTCAGTGAATCAAAGAGTAGAGTTTTTGGTAATTGGGTGAAAAGCGGTTGATTGGAAAAGCACATGCAATTTTAGAAGAGCTATCAGATATCTTCAAGTCAGGATTTTTCCTTTGTTGATATCCCAGTATTCAAATCTCAATTCAAATACAGGTGGAGCATTCTTAATTTGAAAATATGGATTTGAAAATGTTCCAAAGTTCACATTTTTTTTAAGTCTGTGCAAATATTCCAAAAATAAAAAAACACTGAAATTTGAAGCACTTCTGGTCCCACACATTTTGGAAAATGATTGCCCTAATTTGTATCCCCTTCTCACAGAGGCCTTCCCTGATCCACCTGTTTAGATGCCTTCTTTTCCCCTACCACTATGTCCCATTACTCTGTCTTATTTTCTTTATAGCTCTCATCACTAATGAAATTATTTACATATCCTCTAATTTGTATCAGTTAGTTGGGACTGTGTCTATCTAAATTTATTCCTGCATTTCTAGCCTCTAGGGCAATACTTTGCATATACTCAGCACTCAGTGACATTTGAATGAATGGAAACTAAGCAGAACATTTTGGTTAAATCCTTTAATAAATTTGAAAAGGAAAAATGCATTTTATCTGGCACATATTTTATTTTTTAAACCATGCTTTTGGAAAATATGACCCAACATCAAAGTAAAATATAATTATTATAATATTTGGGAAGTAGAACTTTTGAGCTAAAGTGATCATTATCTTAATGGTTAAGATTGACTCTCTTGGGAGGGAAAAATAATGTTTTTTCTCTTTTAGGTCAAAGAGCCCCCTGAAATCAATTTAGTTCTGTACCCTCAGGGCCTAACTGGTGAAGAAGTTTATGTGAAAGTGGATTTGAGAGTTAAATGCCCACCAACCTACCCAGATGTGTAAGTACCTTTATAAATAGCTTTGATGTGATTTTAGTTTAAGGTCAACAGTATTTTCTCCCCCTGCCATTATACATAAAATTTCATTTCCTATCATCTGTATTTTAAGAGAAGCATATCAGCTATAGACATTTTCATGAAATCTGTCTTGTTTTAAGTCTGTTTATCGTTGTAGGATACTCCCTACAAATACTAATACTTGCTCAGTGACTTGTTTGTTTCTTCTGACATGTTAACATTAATTTATTTAATTCTTCATAAACTAGGAAGAGAACAAATCTTGAAGAAAAGGATAAAAGCTTAGCGACTACTTAAATCACTCATGTACTTAGTTTAAAGGTGTGATTGGCATTGGAAATTAGATCACCTTCTGTGACTGACCTCAATTTTTACGGCCCAAAGAATGTTTAGAGTTGTGGCACTTCTCAGTGTAACTGGTCAGCCATCAATGTGCAAGGCTATCCCCTGCACTGCAGGACCTTTAGCATCCCTGGTCCCTACCCACTAGTGCCAGGAGCATTTGCCAATCATTGAGACAACAATAAAACCTTCATATTTTCTCACACACACACACACACACTCACACACATGGCTATATCATCTCTGGTTGAGGATCACTGGTTAGAGCAAAATTATTAGCCATTAGGATTCAAGTGGTCTTATGTATCTATCCCCAGACCTTCATCTGGAAAGACCGATTGACCTGGATGATATTAAGTGGTTTGAATTTACCATACAGGGAACCAGTGAGGGTTTCTGAGAAGGCAAGTGGCAAATAAAAGATGGCAGTGCTTTCTATGGTGGATAAAGAGGTTATTAAGACTATTAAGAGACAGACAGGTCAAAACTGAGCTCTTGCAAGTCAATAACTTTCTTTTGCCCTCAACATTATACTGAGTGTACACATAGTGGGCATATAAAAGATTAATTAATGAAGAAAAGGAATTAAATTTATGAAAGAAAATGAAGACATTGCCTCTCTAGTTGTTTGTTTTGTTTTGGTTTTGTTTGTTTGTTTGTTTGTTTTTGTTTCAGGAAGGTTGGTTGTTTCCTAACACCTAATACATGGTGTCTTTCTGACACCGTCCGGGAGTCCGGCAATTCAGTTCTGTCATTAGCTATCCATAGTTAGCACAGACCGTTAAGATATCAGTTCAATAAATGATGCCTGTTGCAATTTGCAGTACTTCCTCTGACTTTACAAATTTTGGCTATAAATTTGTAGGTTCCTACAGCCTCCTCCTCATGTTTGATAATTTACTAGAATGACTTACAGAACTCAGGAAAATATTTATATTTACCAGCTTATTGTAAAAGATATGACTCTGAAATAGTCAAATGAGAAAGATGCATAGGTGAGGCATGAGGGAGGGGCATGGAGCTTCTGGCCTCTCCATGTATTCATCAACCCACCTGATCCTTGTTATTTCGGGGTTTTATGGAGGTTTTAAACTATAAGCATGATCACTTATTTAAATCATTGGCCACTGGTTCTTGAACTCTATTTCCAGCCCTGCTCTCCTCACACTAGTTTGGAGTAGGGTTGAAATTTCTCATCTTGTAGTCCAAATTTGGTTTTTCTGGTAATCAGCCCCTATTCTGACACTATTCAGGCACCCAACAAGAGTCAACTTCATCCACATATACGCCAGTATAGTTGAAAAGGTTTTTTATGATCAGCTCAAGATGCTCTTCTTACCTCTGTCACCCAGGAGATTCCAAGGGTGATAGGGGCTCTTGTGCCAGGAACTGGGATCAAGGACTCTCTATATATACTTTTTTTATACATTCATAGACTCAAGAATTCAAAATGTTTACTCTTGACAAATCAAAGAAAAACTTGGGTACTTAAGTGCTAAAATATTAATTGTAGCATTATTTATGAAAGTAGAGAAATTGGAACAGTCTAAATTTTTTTAACAGTTAAAGCAGGCTTTCTCAGCCTTGGCACTTTTGGCATGTCAGCAGGATAATGCTTTTTTTTTTTTTTTTGGTACCAGGGATTGAACTCAGGGATGCTTAAACACTGAGCCATATCTCCAGCCCTTTTAAAAAATTTTATTTAGAGATGGGTCTCACTGAGTTGCTTAGGGCCTCGCTAAGTTGCTGAGGCTGGCTCTGAACTCACAATCCTCCTGTCAGCCTCTCAAGCCACATGCCACTGTGCTTGGCTTCAGCAGGATAATTAATTCTTTATTGTGAGAGTTATCCTATACATTGTAGGATGTTTAATAACATCCCTGACTTCTAGATATAGGGAGTAGATATAGAGATACAGGAAGTACCTTCTTCCCAGGTTGTGACAACCAAAAAAGTCTCCAGATATTGACAGATGTCCACTTAGAGACACAATTGCTCCTGGGTGAGAACTATACTAGAGAACTAGTCAGATAAATCTTAATGTATCCACTTAATAAAATATTATGGGATTTTTTTTTTAACAATAAGGAAGTATTTTTTAAAAATTAAGTGAAAGCCGGGTGTGGTGGTGCACACTTGTAATCCCAGTGGCTTGGGAGGATGAGGCAGGAGGATCACAAGTTCAAAGCCAGTCTCAGCAACTTAGTGAGGTCCTAAGCAACTCAGTGAGATTCTGTCTCTAAGTAAAATACAAAATAGGGCTAGGGATGTGGCTCTGTGGTCGAGTGCCCCTGAGTCCAATCCCTGGTATACCCTGCCAAGAAAAATTAAGTTTTGTATCAACTACATAAAATTATTAGTCATGCAGCAAGGACATAAAACATTAGAAAATTTTAGAGTTTAACTAGTATTAAAGATGACTTTTATACCATTCTATTAATATTATTATACAATGATTACTTAATTTTTTAAAAAAATAATTATGTAAGGTTTGATTTGGGGGAATATTGTCATCCTTTAAAAATGATGTGGTACAAGAAAACTTTCTTTTATGCCAAATCATCCTTGAAGCCACTCTGAGAGAGAGAGAATCCTCGGTGGGATGGACTGTACATGGAACCAGGACTGTATGACACTTCTATTCTTTTTCTCAGACTACCATATTCCAGATTTCTGTCTGTCCAGGCAGATAATGATTATAGCAACCTATCATAGTAAATGAAAGATAAGTGTTGAGAGAATGCATAGAAAGGTGAATAGGCGGGGCTGGGGTTGTGGCTCAGTGGTAGAGCGCTCGTCTAGCATGCATGAGGCACTGGGTTCAATCCTCAGCACCACATAAATATAAAATAAAGACATTGTGCCAATCTAAAAAAACCTAAAAAGTAAATATTTTTTAAAAAAAGGTGAATAGGCAAGCCTTTAGTAATCTAAAATGCCAGAATTACTCAGAAATGCTTAATAGGAAGTGATGAATCGTCTTATCTATAAAATTAAATAAATCCTATTTAATCCTAGACTGTTGTTATTGGATGTTTATTTGTTGGGAATGCAAGGAAACTCAAGGGCTGGTTTGTAATATCCTTAATTAGAAATGTTGACTTAGATGAGCTCTTGGGGATGAGGAGGAGTGTGAATTAGGTGTCCTTGGAATAGGCAGAGTTTCCAGAATGTACATGACTATATTTATTCATGAGCCAGTGAGCGTGTCCTTGTTTACAACCAGAATGTGATTGGGGCACAGCCTGTTGTAGGAGTGCTAGATGGATCACCATGTCTCTGTTTCACCTAGCATTCTTGTTCTGCTTTATGCCAGAGCATGCAAAAGAGTGCATAGCACTTGAACTCTGGCCATTGAGCTGTCAGGGCTAGGTCAATTGACACTGGATGCAAGCTAGGGTAGAGGATTACCATACAAAAGAGTGCATAGTTAAGTTACTCAGAGTGAGAGCAGAAATGATTAGATTTTTTTCCACAGAAGAAACTCAGAATTGGGGATTAAGGGCAAATCAGAGGCAATCAATAGTAACTGATGTTGGGAAATTTTAATCAGATTAGAAAACTGATATCAGAGACTAAGGAGTTGAGAGATAAGTCTGGGTCTCCTTAGGAAGTAGAGTACCTAACAGCCCAGATTGAAGACTTTGGCCCACCCACTTCTCCACCAGGTTCAGCTAGTCCTTACTAAGCACTGTGTCAACTGGAGTTGCTGAGATATGGTTGAAATCATTTTGAGATTAAGGAAAGTGTTGGTGGTTACAGGGAGAGATTCAAATACAAGGTCTGTGTAGAACCCTCAGGCCCTCAATTGTGCTGGGAACTAAGTGAATGAGAATGTGAACAGGCTGTTCTTTCTGATGTAACTCCTTTTTCCCCCCCTCTCCAGAGTTCCTGAAATAGAGTTAAAGAATGCCAAAGGTTTGTCAAATGAAAGTGTTAATTTGTTAAAATCCCGCCTAGAGGAACTGGCCAGAAAACATTGTGGGGAGGTAAGTCTTGTTAAGCTAGAATTATAAGAGACAGTAACAGTCCCCATGTGCTCACCAGCATTTGCCTTGACTTTGAAACTTTGCCATTGCACCTCAAATCCAATACTGACTAGAATGTTTTGTGTCATCCTGATATCCACACAGAGAGAGTTGTTTATTTGTATTTGTTTAATTTACAGTATTTATGAATTACAAGTTATAGAGTGAGTACAGATGGTACTATTGATGCTTAAGAGTTGTTCTGAAAACAGCTGATGCAAACTTAGGTATACTTTTTTGCATACTTTGGATCTAGTGTCATGAGCACATCTTGACTTGAACTTTTTTTTTTTTGAGAGAGAGAGAGAGAGAATTTTTAGTATTTATTTTTTAGTTTTCGGCGGACACAACATCTTTGTGTGTATGTGGTGCTGAGGATTGAACCCGGGCCGCACGCATGCCAGGCGAGCGCGCTACCGCTTGAGCCACATCCCCAGCCCCTTGACTTGAACTTTTCTGTTGTAAAATATAGAAAAGTGATTTCTGACCAAACTCTGCGACCTCTCCCTTTAGCATATCAGAAAAACTCGTTGTTTTTCTTCTCAATAACTAGTGACATACTCTACTCCTTCAGTGTCTGTTCTGGACCTGAACATTTACAATGAGCTCAGTACTAATTTTTTAATCCTTTGAACATCAGGGTCTAGTATGAGTTTTCCTTGATGGCAGAACTCTGAGGGCAAGACTAGATGACTCCTGGGGGAGAAGAGTATTGCTGTGTTTTCCTCAGACCAGGACAATTCCATTTTTTTCTGGTTTGTTTGTTTGTTTGGTACTTGGAATTGAACTAGGGTACTTTATAACTGAGCCACATCCCCAGCCCTTTTTATTTTTTATTTTGAGACTCACTAAGTTGCTTAAGGCCTTGCTAAATTGTGCAGATTGGCCTTGAACTTGTGATCCTCCTGTCTCAACCTCCTGAGTCGCTGGGATTATAGGTGTTTGCCCGCATGCCCAGCTCCAGCCAATTCCCTTTAAATATAATTCATCTTTTCCTGACTTGTGTGTAAAATCACTGTTTTTGCAAGATGTTTTGTCAGCTCTCTATCACTATAACAAATAACTCAGATAAATCAATTTATAAAGAGAAAAGGTTTGTTTTGGCTCATAGTTTTGGAGGTTTTAGTCCATGATTGATTGACCCTGTTGCTTTAAGGCTGTGGCCAGGGAGCATGTCATGGTAGACATGCATAGCAAAGCAAAACACTGCTTACCTCATGGTAAGTCAAAGAGAGGAAGTCAAAGAGAGGAAGAAGAAGGGGCTTGGATCCCACTATCTCCTTCCAGGGCACATACATGCCTGATAACCTGAAGACCTCCCTCTGATCCCCACCTCTTAAAGGTTCTGCCACTTCCCAATAAAGCCAAACAGGGACCAGGTCTTTAACACAAGGGTATGTGAGAGACAATCCAGATCCATACTGTACCATTTAAGACAGCTCATGCTTAATTATCACATCTTGTAAAAACTGGTAAGAGTTAAACGAGGACTAGTCCTAGGGCTCAGAGTCTGACAGGCCTATGTTAAAGATAACTATAGGTAACATTCACCCCTTAGAAAGTGACTAGACAGATTTTCACTTATATTCCATAATGTAGTGAGTCATAATGCAGTCTGTGAAGTACCTTTTGGATAATAATAAAATAAAAATTTATCCACTTAAGTTCTTAGTTTTCAAGAACTTCAGTGGTTGATGAGGTACAGAAAGTGATTACAGAACTCCCTGGATCAAAAACTAGGCCTTGGGAATTATTCCAAAGTTCTTTCAAGTGTAAGGTGCTCTAATGTATAATGGAAAAATAATATGATGGAATTATTTTGAAAGTTTAGCTACAGATAATCCTCAGATTTCTTGTTTTTCCGATTTGTAATTTTTTTTAAATGTGCCTAAAATTGCCTTAAAAATGCCCAAATTAATCTTTTAATGTTGAGATAATTATAGATATACTTCCAATTATAAGTAATACAGAAAGAGCCTATGTATTCTCTACCTGCTTTGCCCCAGTGGTAACATTTTGTGACACTCTAGTACAGTATCATACCCAGGATATTGACATTGATACAGTCTAAATGTAAAATTAGTCCATCTCCACAAGGATCTTTCATGTTGCCCCTTTGTACTTTCCTTTCATCCTTTCCTTCACTCCTGGCAACCACGGATCTGATTTTTATTTCTATACTTTTGACATTTTAAGAATGTTACATAGGGCTGAGATTGTGGATCAATGGTAGAGCACTTGCCTAGCATGTATGAGGCACTGGGTTCAATTTTCAGCACTGCATATACATAAATAAAATAAAGGTCCATTGACAACTAAAAATTATAAATAATAAAAAAAGAATGTTACATATAGTATGTAATCTTTTGAGATTGGCTTTTTTCTCCTGCATAATTCTCTGATGATCCATCTACATTGTTACATGTATCAGTAGTTGTTACTTCTTACTGCTTAATAGTATTCTGTGTAAGGATGTAACACTTTCTTTAGCCATTCACCAGATGAAAAAAAACTTTTTTTTTCCAGTTTTGAGCTACTGCAAATGAAGTTACTATAAATATTCATATATAGGTGCTACTTGACATATGATGGGGTTAATCCTAATAAACTTATTGTTAAGTTAAAAATGCATTTACTGGGCCAGGGCTGTGGCTCAGTGGTGGAGCGCTCGCCTAGCATGTGTAAGGCACTGGATTCTATCCTCGGCACCACATAAAAATAAAGATATTGTGTTCGCCTAAAACTAAAAAATAAATATTAAAAAAAATGCATTTACTATACCTAACCTACTGAACATCATAGTGTAGCAACACAGTATACTATAGAGTATCTGTAGTTTTCCCTTCTGCCCCATCATATAGCTGGCTGGGAGCTGCATGTGACCATCACTGCCCAACATTATAAGAGAGTATCATACCATATATAGCCCAGGAGAAAGAAGATCAAAATGCAGTGGAGCATTATTTAGCCTTGAAGATAAAGAAAATTCTGACATTTGCTATAACACAAAATGAAATAGCTGGTCACAAGACAAACACTGTATGATTTTACTTATATGATTCTTAGATTCATAGAGACAGAAAGTGGTTGCCAGGCATGGAGGGGAGGAAAAATTGGAGAGTTGTTTAATGGGTACAGAGTTTCAGTTTGGAAAGATGAGGAAGTTTTGAAAATCGTTGTTGAAGATGGTAACAACATTGTAAATGCACTTAACATTACTGAATGAATGTAGATTTAATGTTGAAGATGGTAAATATTATGTTGTGTATATTTTGCCACAATTTAAAAAAAATTAGTACTCATCTGAAACACCTCATATATTAAGATTTGAAAGGGTGCCAAGCATGGGAATGTATCCTGCAGATTGCTATTCTTGTTTGTCTAATGTTTGTTTCCACTAAATCTGAAGTACTGGGAAATCTAAAATGCACATAATTCTAAAGAAATTGTTTTTATTTTCAAGTAAAATAGAGTGTAATTAGGTATTAAAGTGTGGCTTAGAGATTCATTGTGGTATGGCACTTGCTGATAACTGGCTATTAAATAATGAGTCATTTAATTATTTGAATGGGAGGAATAGGCACTCCAAAACATGTGTTTTAGCACTTCCACTTGCCTCTGAATCATTTTTAATCTGTATAGCAGCTTTTTGTTCATCAGTCCTATAAAAGTAAATTTAAATGTAACTTAGGCTTTATTTTTTACAATGAGCAAAGTCAAATTCAATATTTTTTACTAATTCATGAAACAAATATTTATTACCTATCTAACATGAGCCAGGCACCATCTCAGCTCTGGTAAGACTACAGTGAGAAAATATTTGACCATGCTGTGAGGGCAGCAGACGGAAAGCAATCTAATGACAGTGTAGTAAATCAGGCTATACTAAGTGCTATGAAGAAAAGTTATAGTAAGGGGTCTGGAGCTGGATGGTGAGTAGATAGGTTTGCACAAGGAGCAGGCCTTCAGGAGAGAGAGGTCTCTGGGATCTGAGCAGAGGCCTGAGGCAAAAACCATGAATCATGTAGTATGGAGGGAGGGAGTTTGGAAAGTAGTTATTTTCTTCCTGTCCTATAAACTTTATCAGAGTTATTTGTACAGAAAATGCTAGTAAATTAAAAGAAAGACCCTCCACAGTGTGACTCCTACTCCTTTCTGGTTTGAAAATGGTTTCTCTTTAACATAATAGAAACTACCTGGTTTTTCCAGCTTTCCTTGGAAGAACTTTTCTTAGAAGAACTTATCTCTTAGATAAGTTTTTTTCAACTTTATAGCAATATATATCCAGTATATACCACAACTTCTGGTATAAATTTAAAAATGTATTAACTTTACCCGTCAGGAGCTATGGCTTGTTGGCATCTGCTCCATGAGAGAAAATACAGTACCAGACAAACCCATTTTATATTCTCATGTACAGTGACTTCTGCTATTATTGACCACCATGTTAGGTCCATTTAGAAGCTGTTTTTTTTTTATTATTATTATATGTTTTAAGCATATATAGAACTAAGAAGTTTTTAAAATTCCTTTATCATAATTGAGAAAAAAAGAAATTTCAGTAATGTGTTTCTCATCTGCAGAAGTTTGAAACTCTTTGCTGTGGGTCTAGAGAAGCAAACAGTGTGAGTGAGGTCTCAGAGCCCCAGATTCTATCCATTTACCAACCTAGGTATGATTATGGCTTAGCCTCAGGTGGGAGCAAGAGGCTTCCTAAGAATGCCCAGAGGGGAAGGGCGGCTTGTTCTTCCTGGCTCTATCTGTGAATGCTTCCCTAAGTGGAGATGAAATACTTTTTTTAAGTATTGACCCTTTATAAGCGAGAAGATAGTGAAGGCTTATATTTGCCTCTGTATACCCAGTAGAATATTTTCAATATCTCATGGACAAATGAAAGTTCTGATGTTAGACATGTGTATTCTCCATGCAATTGTCATTATGTAAACAGGTTTACTAATTGGAAAGGTAGCTTTTGTTTTCATGTAGTTTTAAATATTTTATCAGATTTATTTGTATTGAAAAATATTTCATGGAACTTTTTATACAAAAAATGCCAGTAGGGGCTGGGCTTGTGGCTCAATAGTAGAGCGCTAGCCTAGCACATGCGAGGCACTAGGTTTAATTCTCAGCACCACATTAAATTAAATAAAGAAAGAAAGAAAGAAAGAAAATAAAGGTATTGTGTCCAACTATAACTAAAAAAAAAAATAAAAAAAAAATAAAGAAAGTAAATGCCAGTAAGTTTCAATAGGCCTACAAAAGAGAAAAGGAGCTTTTTTATTTATCCAGGGGTGATTGTCTTGATTGTAACTCAATGCAGTGAGTCCTTTTGAAGTTTGTCTTGCTGTGATTGCATCAGACACTTAATTCAGAATGTGTGGTAGTGAACTGAATAGCCACATGTCTGATTGCCAGCTTGGTTTGCTGTTTGGTAGCCTCTCCTTTGGGTAGCCTCTCCATATTGGATCATTTGTGGATGCTTTTTGTTGACATGTTTAGGTGATGATATTTGAACTGGCTTACCACGTGCAGTCCTTTCTCAGTGAGCATAACAAGCCGCCTCCCAAGTCTTTCCATGAAGAAATGCTGGAAAGGAGGGCTCAGGAGGAGCAGCAGAGGCTGTTGGAGGCCAAGCGGAAAGAGGAGCAAGAGGTAAGACTCCCCTCTTGGGAGCACATGCCCTACCCTGGAGGCCACCAAGTTTTCTGGGTCATTAGTCTGTCTCTAACTAAAAATGGATCTATAAGTTTTGCTCACTGTTTGACTCAAAAAATGTGGAGGCCCTGAGAGTAACTGAGAAATATTGTGTGGGTCCCTGAGCTGCCTCACAGAAACCTTAGTTCAGATCTAAAAAAGAAAAGACAGAAAAAGGAGGCTGTTTAACCGGGTTTCTTCTTGTGGTCTTCTGAGCTTGCCAAGATGTACACAAACCCACTGAATTTTCCTTGTAAGAGACGGTCTCTCATGCCATGAGGAATCGCAAAATGAAATGAAACTGTTTTTTATGTTCATTAGCTATTTTTTTTTCTTAAATCTATTTCCATGAGGTTATTAATTCATTGCTTACTTTAAAAATTTCTTCAAGTCTAAGATAATATATGCCTCTAAATTTCCTTTTTGATTTTAACTCAATTTTCCTTATGCACATTATAAAAAGAGCCTGTTTGGTTTTTTCCCCAGATATTTTCCTAACACGTTTATTGAATAATCATTCTTTATTAAGTGAGTCATAATATTTCCTTGATAGTTTAACTGTTTATCTCTACTAGGTTCTGTTGCTAAATTATCTATTTTGTTCAATCCTTCTGTTTTTTCTTTCCTTGAGTCTTTACTCACCCTGAATTACTTTAGCTATAGAAAGCTAGAATATTTGACAAGCCTGCCTTTCCCCATTCTTTCATATTCTGTCTTATTTTTTTCTCAAACATTCTAACCTATTTATTTATTTAGCAGTACTAGAGATTGAATCTAGAGGTGCTCTGTCACTGAGCAATCCCTGGCCCTTTATATTTTGTGACAAGGTCTTGCTAAGTTGCTAATGCTGGCCTTGAACTTGCAATCCTCCTGCCTTAGCCTCCCAAGTCCTTTGGGATTACAGGCATGTGCTACCAAATGGTAAATGGCATTTCACCCATTTATCCTTACAGATGAACTGTAGAATTGCTTTTTCAAAGTCAAAACAACAATTAAACCCTCTGGGATTTTTTTTTAATATTTATTTTTTAGTTGTAGTTGGACACAATATTTTATGTAGTGCTGAGGATCGAACCCAGGGCCTCGCATGTGCTAGGCGAGCGCTCTACCGCTGAGCCACAATCCCAGCCCACCCTCTGGGATTTTGACTGAAATTATACTAAATTTATATATTTATTTAGGAAGAATTGACATCTTGACAATATTCAGACTTCCCATCTACATTTATTTTTATCTCTTCATGAAGTGTTCTTTTTTTTATCCCTGTAGATAGTACTACTACTTACAGTTGCTTCTGTTGATTCTTTTTTTTAAATTTTTTATTGTTGGTTGTTCAAAACATTACATAGTTCTTGATATATCATATTTCACACTTTGATTCAAGTGGGTTATGAGCTCCCATTTTTACCCCATATACAGATTGCAGAATCACATCAGTTACACATCCATTGATTTACATATTGCCATACTAGTGTCTGTTGTGTTCTGCTGCCTTTCCTATCCTCTACTATCTCCCCTCTCCCCTCCCCCCCCTACCCCCCCCTTCCCTCCCCCCCCCTCCCCTCCCCTCCCCTCTTCTCTCTCTGCCCCCTCTACTGTCATTCATTTGTCCCCCTTGTATTATTTTTCCCTTTCCCCTCACTTCCTCTTGTATTTACTTTTGTATAACCCTGAGGGTCTCCTTCCATTTCCATGCAATTTCCCTTCTCTCTCCCTTTCCCTCCCACCTCTGATCCCTGTTTAATGTTAATCTTCTTCTCATGCTCTTTGACCCTACTCTGTTCTTAGTTACTCTCCTTATATCAAAGAAGACATTTGGCATTTGTTTTTTAGGGATTGGCTAGCTACACTTAGCATAATCTGCTCTAATGCCATCCATTTCCCTGCAAATTCTATGATTTTGTCATTTTTTAATGCAGAGTAATACTCCATTGTGTATAAATGCCACATTTTTTTTATCCATTCGTCTATTGAAGGGCATCTAGGTTGGTTCCACAGTCTTGCTATTGTGAATTGTGCTGCTATGAACATCGATGTAGCAGTGTCCCTGTAGCATGCTCTTTTTAGGTCTTTAGGGAATAGACCGAGAAGGGGAATAGCTGGGTCAAATGGTGGCTCCATTCCCAGCTTTCCCAGGAATCTCCATACTGCTTTCCAAATTGGCTGCACTAATTTGCAGTCCCACCAGCAATGTACAAGTGTACCCTTTTCCCCACATCCTCTCCAGCACTTGTTGTTGTTTTACTTCATAATGGCTGCCAATCTTACTGGAGTGAGATGGTATCTTAGGGTGGTTTTGATTTGCATTTCTCTGACTGCTAGAGATGGTGAGCATTTTTTCATTTACTTGTTGATTGATTGTGTGTCCTCCTCTGAGAAGTGTCTGTTCAGGTCCTTGGCCCATTTGTTGATTGGGTTGTTTGTTATTTTATTGTCTAATTTTTTGAGTTCCTTGTATACTCTGGATATTAGGGCTCTATCTGAAGTGTGAGGAGTAAAGATTTGTTCCCAGGATGTAGGCTCCCTATTTACCTCTCTTATTGTTTCTTTTGCTGAGAAAAAACTTTTTAGTTTGAGTAAGTCCCATTTGTTGATTCTAGTTATTAACTTTTGTGCTATGGGTGTCCTATTGAGGAATTTGGAGCCCGACCCCACAGTATGTAGATCGTAGCCAACTTTTTCATCTATCAGACGGCGTGTCTCTGATTTGATATCAAGCTCCTTGATCCATTTTGAATTCACTTTTGTGCATGGCGAGAGAAAGGGATTCAGTTTCATTTTGTTGCATATGGATTTCCAGTTTTCCCAGCACCATTTGTTGAAGATGCTATCCTTCCTCCATTGCATGCTTTTAGACCCTTTATCAAATATAAGATAGTTGTAGTTTTGTGGATTGGTTTCTGTGTCCTCTATTCTGTACCATTGGTCCACCCGCCTGTTTTGGTACCAGTACCATGCTGTTTTTGTTACTATTGCTCTGTAGTATAGTTTGAAGTCTGGTATCGCTATACCGCCTGATTCACACTTCCTGCTTAGCATTGTTTTTGCTATTCTGGGTCGTTTATTTTTCCATATGAATTTCATGATTGCTTTCTCTATTTCTACAAGAAATGCCGTTGGGATTTTGATTGGCATTGCATTAAACCTATAGAGAACTTTTGGTAATATCGCCATTTTGATGATGTTAGTTCTGCCTATCCATGAACAGGGTATATTTTTCCATCTTCTAAGATCTTCTTCTATTTCTCTCTTTAGGGTTCTGTAGTTTTCATTGTATAAGTCTTTCACCTCTTTTGTTAGGTTGATTCCCAAGTATTTTATTTTTTTTTTGAAGATATTGTGAATGGAGTGGTTGTCCTCATTTCCATTTCAGAGGATTTGTCACTGATATACAGGAATGCCTTTGATTTATGCGTGTTGATTTTATATCCTGCCACTTTGCTGAATTCATTTATTAGCTCTAATAGTTTCTTTGTAGACCCTTTTGGGTCTGCTAGGTATAGAATCATGTCACCTGCAAATAGTGATAATTTAAGTTCTTCTTTTCCTATTTTTATGCCTTTAATTTCTTTCGTCTGTCTAATTGCTCTGGCCAGTGTTTCGAGAACTATGTTGAACAGAAGTGGTGATAGAGGGCATCCCTGTCTTGTTCCAGATTTTAGGGGGAATGCCTTCAATTTTTCTCCATTCAGAATGATGCTAGCCTGAGGCTTAGCATAGATTGCTTTTACAATATTGAGGTATGTTCCTGTTATCCCTAGTTTTTCTAGAGTTTTGAACATAAAGGGATGCTGTACTTTGTCGAATGCTTTTTCCGCATCTATCGAGATGATCATATGGTTCTTATTTTTAAGTCTATTGATGTGGTGAATAACATTTATTGATTTCCGTATATTGAACCAGCCTTGCATCCCAGGGATGAATCCTACTTGATCATGGTGCACAATTTTTTTGATATGTTTTTGTATCCGAGCTTCTGTTGATTCTTGTGTCTAGCTCTTTTTTTGTTTTTCTGCTTCACTCTGAACTTATGTAATCACTGCCTCTTTGTGGGTTCCTCTATTTTTTTTACTGATGATCTCCTATTAAATTGTGTAGCCTGGTCATCATTTAAAGTTTACAGTTCCATATTATTTGAGGATAGTGGATATTTAGCTAACAGTTTTGTTTTGGTATGCTGCTATAACTATCTATTAGTTCTTATTACTATTTTAGTTTATGGTGTCTTGGTACTTTTTTATATATTTTTTTAGTTGTTAATGGACCTTTATTTTTATGTGGTGCTGAGAATCAAACCCAGTGCCTCACACATGCTAGGCAAGTGCTCTACCACTGAGCTACACCCCTAGCCCTGTCTTGGTACTTTTGATACTTATACTCTGGAATTTTAGGGAATTAACAAAAAAGAATGGATATCAAAATATCACTTTTTATACCAAAAGACTTATGAAAAATGCAGGTACAGGTCTATGGCCAGTGGGTGTGGTGCCTGGTATTGAGGACAGCTCAACCCACCTCTGGCAAGCCAGCCCCAGACCCTAGGGCAGAGACAGCCACAGTTCTTGTACCTTACAGATAGGCAGATATAAGAGGTGGGGAGATGGGAGAATTCAGCAGCGTTGCCATAGTGAAAGTCCCTCCATATGAAGAGGTAAAGAATGGAAAATAATACTCTCCTCACACAGTCTTAAAACCTCAGCTAGGAAGCTAATTGCTTAAGAACTCAGACAAAACTGATGGACCTGCATTTTGTACTAAAGTTCTCTATATTCAGGTCTCTTAGAAGAAAAGGGCTTAAGTATATTGAAATTCAAGTCAGAATTCTATAGTTTTAGAATTGACACATAGTATGTATTTTAGAGTTTGGTGTCTGATGGTGCTTTTATTTATTTCAGAAGCGTGAAATCCTTCATGAGATTCAGAGAAGGAAAGAAGAGATAAAAGAAGAGAAAAAAAGGAAGGAAATGGCTAAGCAGGTACTCTATCAGTTCTGCTACACTAAGATAATCTACATTTTGCTAAACATAAAAAGGTTTTATTTCCATTGATGTTATTTTTTTCCTTACATATTTCTATCAGTAGTAAAGCTTAGAAAAAAAAATCCCCAAAGTTAAATGTATTGTATATTTTAGATTCTCCAAATAGGTGGCAGAATTTTAAGTTATGTCATCTGTAAGTGATTTAAGCTTTTAGGGTTACACTAATTTATAAAATGAGTCAAGGAAGAGGAGATTGAAGCTTTGTTAATTAACCCGGACTGGAATTCTTAATACCTAGAAAATATTTGTTCATACTGAAGAATGAATGGAAACAATATGCATGTTTTAGAGATTTCATTCAATGGTGGAAAAGAATGATGTGACAAAACAGGTTTAAAAGTCAGTGGTAAAAAAGGATAAAGTGCTTTTTCTTTATTTTCCCTGATTCCAGCTCAGTCCCAAAGAACAAGGTATACATGTTTACAGAAGTCCAGAGAAAATTTTGCTCATTCTCTCAAACAGAATTAATAATGCCTTTCTGTTTCATGTAATTATTCCCACAAACAGATGTACTGCCTATGTGAAAGTAGAAAGCTGAGCACAAGTTAAGATGTTTGTTTTCCACCAACTCTCTCATCCTGTGTCTGATCTGTCTTCCTGTCAGCCACTCTGCATTCTCTTTGAATCCCCTCTTCTTCTGTTCATCTCCTTTTGTCCCTCTGCCTAATTTTTTATGTTTATTCTAAAATTGTAAACATTTTCATTTATAAAATTCTCTTGAAACTATAACCTGGGCTTCAGATCTTGACTCAGTACATATTTGGGCATTAAACTTTTAAAAGTTGAGTTCAGCTTTATTACACTTGTAAGCACTCAGCTTAAATAAAATTTGCATTCTATACTGAATTGCTAATACCATACCATGCTTGTTTTACACATATGACTTACATCTAAAATAGGTTATGCTTTTCTTTTTCTAGGAACGTTTGGAAATTGCTAGTTTGTCAAACCAAGACCATACCTCTAAGAAAGACCCCGGAGGACACAGAACAGCTGCCTTGCTACATGGAGGCTCTCCTGATTTTGTAGGAAATGGTAAACACCGTACAAACTCTTCAGGAAGATCTAGGTAAGTCCCTGGGATTCTAATCTGGGAGGATGAAAGCTGTAGGATCAAAACAACTTGTGGTAAACTTTGATAAAATTTCCAGATAGGACTCTTAAGCCTATAAATCTTTTGTTTGTTTGTTTGTTGTTGTTGTTGTTTTTTTTAAAAAAAAAAAAAAAGAAAAAGAAATTTTATTGCTTTGCTAGCAAAGGAGACACACCGGGGACTCCTGTCCCAGAGGCTATGGTTCTGCCCTTCAGCAGGAACAGGGGCCTTTTAAAGATGTGATTCAAAGGCTGTATTCTGCATGTTCTCTGTTGAAGTTATAATTCATTTGTTAATTTGGGAGATAATCATTTCTGAGATCTTCTGGTACCATCCCCAGAGTCTGGATTACTTAGTTTCTATAGGGGGTGTGTGTACAAGGACAGATAAATCTGCCTAAAATGGGGAAGAAAGGCAGTCCTGTTTCCCTTAAGATTAGAGAGAGGGAGAGATTAGGGAGGAGCAGGGAGAGAGGGAGAGAAAGCCTATATAAATATATTAGTTAACTGGACAAAACCAAATTTTCATTTAATACTTTCCAAGTGTATTGAATGAAACCAGTTTCATAGCTCAAACCCCCTTAGAACAGCCTGTAACACTTCACAATTCTGCCTTCGGTACTGTTCAATTTGACTTTTAATTGTCTATTATATAATAAATGATTTAAATCTTTCCTTCGATCTGTAATATCATCCTCTCAAATTGTATGCTTTCTGTATATGTTTCAGTGTGTAACTCCTTAGGTGCAACCACAAATTTGGGGAGTGCTCCAAAATGGGCACAGATGTAGAACACCAGTTAAATGAGAAGGGAGCCCCTCTCTGCCACTACTGAAGTGGGCTTCTGTGTTGCTCCCTGTTACCAGAATTCACATGAAAAACACTGCTTCTTCTTTCTCATTCTTTTCCACTAAGCTGTGGAGTCTTCCCTGTTTTCCCTTGAGAGTAGAAAGGAATTTTAGTGCAGAAACCATATAATTTGAGAGGATGAGCACATCATTAAATAGTATGGGTACTGCAGCTCTTAAACTATCTCTTGTGAGTCTCCAAGCAACACTTAAAGCCAACTCTTTGCTTCTATCAAAAGAAACATTTTAGGTACCAAACTAAAGATTTATATAAAATTTCAGGTTATAGTTTGTTTATTAGAAGGAGACATTTTAGTTCTTTCCCTAATGTCCTTTTTTAAAACCAACTTAGAAACAATTTTGATAATGTTTAACTACCTACTATTAGGGTGAATTAGAGATATTTTTTAAATTTTTTTTAAGTTGTAGATGGACACAATATTTTTATTTTTTTTTTATTTTTATGTAGTGCTGGGGATTGAACCCAGGGCCTCACGGATATGAGCAAGCACTCTGCCACTGAGCTACAACCCCAGACCTAGAGATGTTTTGAATACTGTTTCTGGTGACAATCTTTTTGAGGAATACTTTCTTACCAATTAGATTATAACTCCTTACCAAATTAGATTATTTTTGCAACTGGGTTCTAATAGTGAATAAAAAATTGTCAGAGAATTTCACTGGGAAATATTTAGCAAATTCTTATTGTGTTAGAGATAGCAGAATTAAATCAATGTTATAAATATGTCTTTTTAGATATGGAAAAAACAACTTTTTTATGTTTTATCACGTTTTTATTTGTGGCTGACTATGATCAGTAGATCCAAGGTTAGACTTGCATTTGAGATCAGTGATAGCAAGTGTATTCAGAAAAAGGCAGGAAATTGTCTCTCCTCTTGCCATGGATAGAACAACTTTTTATGTAACGCCTTTAGAGTGACAGGTATGTATCTTGGATGGAACGACATTCCATGAGTATCTAAGAACAAAACTGACAATAAATAGTTGTCATCTATTTCATCTGTTTGGCAAGTTTGTTGCATGTACCTACATGGACTCTGCATTGGTAGTTGTGTTAGCTACTGACTGAAAAGATCAAATCCTTCTTAAGTGTAGTTTAAATGCTTCTTTGGTTAAAAAATAAAAAGTCATTGATGTGCCAAATTACTTCATGGTACACTTGTGATTCTTTTTCTTGCCTGCTGTTCATTGGTCCTCATCATTTAGAAAGTCAAAGAAATAGGCAAAATGTTCCACTTTGTCTTTTTGTGAATAAATACACATGGTAGACTTAATAGAGATGTCTTTGTCATCTGAATTGTTAGCAGCAATATTTGAACTGACTGTGACTAAAAGCAGTAAAATCTAGAATCATGTTTCACTGATTCATTCAATAAATGCTTATTGAGCACTTACTATGTGCCAGGCGTTCTTCTGAGTACTGGGATTTGGTAAACGAGATCAAGGACTGTCTTTGTGGAGCTTATATTCTCATTGAAAACTGTCCATAAGCAGAAAAGAAATGTCAGATAAGGATTAGTGCTACACAGAGAAATAAAATAGGCCTGTGTTGAATAAAAGCTGGATGACCATTTTAGAATGTTTGAAGGAAAACATACAAAGTTTGGATCTAGAGTGGGGGGTTCTGGTTCTAAAAAGTGAGAGGGAGCCAGCCAGACCAAGATCAGAAGGAGAACAGCTCAGCACAGAGAACAGTTGGTTTGACTAATCCAAGGCTGGCATGGGCCTGCAGTGCTCAAAGCTCATTAAGCAGGACAGTAAGGCTAGAATTAGTAGGCATGGAGAGAATAGTTCAGGAAGGATCAGGCAGGCAGTCACAGAGGGCTTTGTTGACCAGGGTGGGTCAACAAAGATAAATGAGCAGCTTTGAAGGGTGTTACTCAGGACTAAATACGATACCTTCTGATTTACATTGTTGTTGTGGTTTGGATGTAAGGTGTTTCCAAAAGCTCATGTGTGAAACGATGAGATGCAAGAAGGTTTAGAGGAGAAATCACTGGGTTGTGAGAGTCTTAACCCAATCAGTGAATCAATCACCTGATGGGATTAACTGTGTGGTAACCAAAGGCAGGTAGTGTGTGTCTAGAGGAGGTGGGCATTGGGGGCGTGCCTTTGGGGCATATATTTTGTATGTGGCAAGTGGATTCTCTCTCTCTGCTTCCTGGTCATCAAGTGATCATCAAGTGCCATTTTCTTCTGCCATGATGTTCTGCCTCACTTTGAGCCCTGAGGAATGGAGCTGGCTATCTGTGAACTGGGACCTCTGAAACTGTGAGCTCCCAAATAAACTGTTCCTCCTCTAAAATTGTTCTGGTCAGATTTTTTTAGTCACAGCAGTGTAAAAGCTGACTAAAACAATTGTGGACTCTTCTTCCTGGCCACAAGCGGAGAATGGACATTGGGGAAACCACAGTAAAAAGTGAGTGGTTTTAGCATCTAGTTCCCCATCACTCTCCCCTCCCTTGCCTCACAGCATCACTCCTTGAGCACACCAAGCACCTTCTCATCTCAGGGCCTCTGCCTGTCACTCTGCCTAGGACGCTTTTCCTATGTCATTTTGCATGGCTGCTGCTTCTAATTCAGTTCTTTCCTGAAGTATGACCTCCTCAGAGACACCTCCCCTGAGCTGCCCTCTACTCTACTTCTCTGCTTAGTACCTATTATCTGATTCTCTATTTAATTTTTTTCGTTTTCTGTTTTTTGTTTGTTTGTTTGGGATTAACTGTGTGGTAACCAAAGGCAGGTAAAGTTTGGCTAGAGGAGGTGATGGTGGTTGTTGTTTGGTTGGTTTTGGTTTTGTAACGCTGGGGGTGGAACCCAGGGCCTTGTACATGTTAAGCAAGCTCTCTACCACTGATTCACACACCCAACCCCTGTTTTTCTGCATAGCACTTAGCACTAGATGAAATTCTCACTCATTTGTTTTCTTTTTGTAATGGAGAATGAAAAGTTCATGAGAGCAAAGATACATGGGTGTCTTCCTCAATGCCTGGTAGATACATAGTAGTTGTTCAATAAATGACCTGATGTAGGAAAGGAGGGCACAAGAGAAAAACAATAGAAAGAAACGAGAGATTGTGATTTTTGTGCCTTTAGTGTCTGCAGCCTCTTTACCCCAAGCAAGTCTGCTTTTCTTTATCTGTGGGGTATATCAAGAATTAGTTTTGCCAGGAATGGTGGCAAATACCTGCAATCCCAGGAACTCAGGAGGCTGAGGTAGGAGGATCACAAGTTCGAGGACAGTCTCAGAAATTTATCAAGACCCAGTCAATTTTGAGACCTTGTCTCAAAATAAAAAGGGCTGGTGATGTAGCTCAGTGGTAAAGCACCCCTGGTTCAATCCCCAATACCAAAAGAAATTAGTTGTTAAACACAAAATTTCTACTTCTTAAAGCAAGAGAAAGAGAGAAAAGAAAAACATGCATGAAAAAACATGGTGGCAAGGACTTAAAGGCCTGATCATTGGGGAACTGGCTCTTTGACCCAGCTCTTCACTGCTGAATTTTTGTTTTTGTTAAAGAACTTTATTTTCTGTGTCCTTCAAGTCATGAAGGATTGAGGATTTACGTTTAAAAAAAAAAATTAAGGTAAAATTCAAATGATATAATATTAACCATTTTGAAGTGGATAGTTCAGTGTTGTTGTCTTTTGTAAAGTATAGACCTAGTTCTCCTCAGTCCTTGCCCACATTTCTACCATCAAACAAAATCAGGTTATCTCCTAGTTTGTTTGCCCTGTGCTAAAGCCAAGTATGGTAACTGCTAGTAAATCATCTGTTCTGAGAAGAAATAACTAAGGGTATAAGACATGGGATTTCAGAAGATGGCAGCGCCCGAGTCAGGCGTGGCGCATGTTTCCGCAGAGAGCACCTCTCAAGGAGGGATGATGTCATTTCTCCTCCTCTGGTGAAAGGCGAGCCTCTTTGCCCACCATGAGCATCACCCCAGAGGTCAAGAGTCATGGGATGAAGTTTGCTGAGGAGCAGCTGCTAAAGCATGGATGGACTCAAGGCAAAGGACTAGGCCGGAAGGAGAATGGCATCACCCAGGCCATCAAGGTGACTCTGAAGCAAGATACTCATGGGATGGGACATGATCCTGCCAAGGAGTTCACACACCACTGGTGGAATGAGCTTTTCAACAAGATTGCAGCCAACTTGGTAGTAGAAACTGGGCAGGACGGAGTGCAGATAAGACGCCTTTCCAAGAAGACCACTCATAATCATCCCAAGCCGAACATGCTGTATCACAAGTTCGTGAAGCTATGAACCCGAGGTTGCTTGCTTCCAGCAGCTGCAGTCCACCTTTTGCCAGGTTGAAGTATGCAGGCCCCCACACCTGTGACTCTGCAAGGAGCAAGTTGGGGGCTGGCAAATTCCTGCCTAGGCTATGAATTCCTGGGAGGCTTCCAAAAGGAAGAGGGGTGGTAGTGGGTTTGAGTGGGCCATATCCACGCACTTCATCCCTCCTAGACGGCCACGCTGACTTCGGGTGGAGAGAAGCCAGACAGAAACTTGGAGAGTGGCAGTAATGACGACAGCCAGGGGCCCAGGCCCCCAAAGATCCTGACTGATGAGATGCTGCTCCAGGCCTGTGAGGGGCGAACAGCACACAAGGCTGCACGTCTTGGGATCACAATGAAGGCCAAGCTTGCTCGGCTAGAGGCCCAGGAGCAGGCCTTCCTGGCTCATCTTAAAGGCCATGTCTCTGAGGCCTCGCAGCCACAGTCTGAAAGCCAGCCCCCCAACCCCCCCAAAAAAGAAAAGGAAACAGAAAGAGCCTAGAGCAACTGAGCACAGTGTGGATGAGGAGCACCCAGAACACACTGAGCACAGCACCAGGAAAAGCAAAAAGAAGAAAAGACGACATCAAGAGGAGGAGGTCTCAGATGAGAGAGGGGGAACAGCCGTAGAGAGTGGAGAGGACGAGGCTGCGGGGCCCGGTGGGCTCGAGGAACCCTGGAGCAGAAAGCAAACCCGTCAGTCTCTTAAGAAAAAGAAGAAGAAGAAGAGACCGCACCCGTGAAGGGGAGGAAGGGGAGGAAGAGACGGGGATGTTGGGTGGAGAAGGAAGAGGGAAGGATCCTGCAAGTGGTGTTGGGAGAAAGGAGGTGATGAGCAGAGCGCACAGGGACCCCTGCCGCAGAGACAAGAAAAGGCAGCCTGAGGAGGACTTGAGCGTAGCTGATGGGGACAGAGAGGAGACTGCTCTAGAGGGTGCAGCCAGGGAAGCAGGAAGCTCGCCCTGCGGTAACAGAAGCAACAAGAAGAGACAGCAGTGCAGGAAAGAGGAGGAGGTCTCGGATGTAAGCTGCGAATGTGACAATGGCAGGACTGAGGAAATAGAGAACAGAGGTAAGAAGAGGAGGCGGCAGCAACTCAGGGAGGAGAGAAGGAGAATCAGCACTGACCAGAGCACCAAAAAGAAGAAACAGAAGAAGAGAGACTGACGGTCTCTCAAGCTGGAGTCAGTTCCTTTTCAGTTGAAGCCTCAGGGACCATGGTCAGCGTCCTACATGAGGAACCCCTCCCGAAGAGGCAACTGAGCTCAAGGATAGCAGTCTCCTGCTGGAGACAAGTGCCACGTCTTAGTCAAGGGAGTGGACGTGGTCTCTCCTGCTCTCCCTGCAGCCTCCAACCCAGAGACTTGAACTCGAGTGCCCCCAGGAGCCAGGCAGCTAAGGAACAAGGTAGACTGGGGGCTGTGGGAACAGGAATATAGACAGGCGCATCCCTACCAAAATATGCCAAAATGTAGACTGACAGGAAAGGTCTTGGTTTTTAAATATCATGAAAGCTAAGAAAAACATAAATTTGGGGTTATGGGCTATATTCAGCTCATAGGTTGCTTGTTTCTGACACTATACCAATTGACTATAAATAAATATGAATTTGAGCTCCCAGCCTACAAAAAAAAAAAAAAGACATGGGATTTTCTCCACTCGCCCCCCCTCAAAAGTTTGGGAAACCACTAACATAAGGAATGTAGATGGAGGTGAGGGGATCCTTTGTACATCTCTCCAAACCCATGTTCCTCCATTGCTTACTGTTTCTCAATTTGATTCCCAGCAGACACAGACTGATTCACCTCAAACAATATCAAGAATTCTTTTTTTTTTTCTACAAAGATCCTGAATAGCTAGAGTTTTTTCTAGCATCTTGGTGAGTTTGGCAGGAAGTTTAGACTGCTGCAGTCCCAATTTCAGAGTTGATTCTCCTTCCCATCCCAACCTCTTATATTGTTAGCTTTCTATTACTGGAACAAAATTCCTAAGATGATCAACTTACAAGGAGGCAAAGTTTAATTTGGCTCACTTTTGGAGATTTCAGTCTCCATTGCTTTGGGGCCAATGGCAAGGCAATGCATCATGGCAGGAAGTGTGTGGTGGAGCAGCTCATGGCTGGGTCATAAAAGGAAAAGGAAGGGGCCATGTCCCCACTGTCCCCTTCAGTGACCTGAAGACCTCCTACTGGGCCCTACGTTAAAGGTTCTACCATCTCCCAAAAGCACCTAACTAGGGACCAAGCCACAGGGACCTGTGGGGGACCTCTCAGATCCAGACTGTAGCACCTCCACACTCTGATTGTGTGGGTAGACCAGTCTCTTGGATAGCAGCCAGATTCTGAAGGATTGGCACTCGATGATTTGCAGCTTTTCTTTCTGTCAATTGTCTGCTTTTTTCCTTTTCAGTTTTTTTAGGGTGTTGTTGTTGTTATCAAGGTCCTAGATATTTAATTTAGTCTTCTAAAATTTAATTATGTTAACTTCTCTATCCTTTATAAGACATGTTTAGTATTATTTGGCAATTTTGTTTTAAACACTCTTTCCTTAGTACATTGGGTACTGCTGGTTGACAAAGCTGACAACATGAGTGATATTTCTAGTAATATTGCAAATCCCATGGACATTCCATATCCAGAATAGACCACTGACGAGGACATCAGTGTCCTCGCTTCTAAACACCATTTGTTTGCAGTAGAGCTGTGATTCTGATGGCATTGAGAAGACATTTTACTTGTGGATGAGTCTCAGTAGACAGTAGAAGCATCCAATATATACAGAGCTTTTTGGATGAAAACCTTCTTTTCATACTCTAGATGTATTTTTTAACCTCCAGAATTATTTCTGTTGTCTGTCTCATGTAGCATATGCCACATTTGTCATTTTGTTGACACTTTCACTTTTTAAATTTTCTCCACTTTTCCCTTAATTCTAATTTTTTTTTTTTTGTAACACTCCTAACACTGTGTTTGTGAGAATCAGTCATAATAGGGTGGTTAATATTCTAAAACACCTTAAAATCAAGTATTTGCACACTGTCAACTAAAGGGCATTGAGATGGCCTAGACTAAAATGGATCTTGTCACCATCTGTTGAAGGGGACAGAGCCGATGTTGAAGGGCTTCTGGATAATTTGTGTAGTTTAGCATATCATTTTGAATCTTTGCGTTTATTCTTTTTTCCATAAATGTCAGTGTACTCCCTGTTTACGCAAATAATTTCAAAAGCCGAAATTTAAACAGAATTACAATGTGTTCTTATTCCCTGGTATTTAGAATATTTGGTATAAAAGACTTGTGTCATAATACATAATCTTATCACTAATGTAGGGGTAGGCTGGGTGCCTTTTCCCCCACATCCTTGCCAACACTTACTGTTGTTTGTATTCTTGATAACTGCTGTTCAACTCAAAGTGGATCAAGGACCTAGGAATTAGACCAGAGACCCTGTGCCTAATAGAGGAAAAAGTAGGCCCAAATTTTCATGTAGGAATAGGCCCCAATTTCCTTAACAAGACTCCTGAAGCATAAGAAATAAAGTCAAGAGTTGATAAATGGGATGGATTCAAACTAAAAAGCTTCTTCTCAGCAAAAGAAACAATCAATGAGGTGAAGAGAGAGCCTACATTTTAGGAGCAAATTTTTGTCATAACCACATCAGGTGGAGCACTAGTCTCAAGATCTATAAAGAACTCAAAAAACTTAACACCAAAACACAAAACAACTCAATCAATAAATGGGCTAAAGAGTTAAACAGACTCTTCTTTGAAGAAGATATACAACGGATCAACAAATACATGAAAAAATGTTCAACATCTCTAGTAATTAGAGAAATGCAAATCAAAACTACTGTAAGATTTTATCAAAGCATTTCTTATGTAACTTGTGACTATCAAGAACTTTCTTCCTTTCTTCTTCTTCAGCACCCCCCCCCTCAATTTTTTTTTTTTTTTTTTTTTTGGTGGTTGTTGTTTTTATAATGTAGCTTCTCAACTATTGTTCCTCATCTAGTGGGGGAAAAGTAGGAAAATAAAGAAATAAAAAATAAAGTTAAAAAAAAAAAGCAGAGGTTGGATTTTGAGTATTTTGGAGAAGTTATAGAAGGAAATAACAAGGAGTATCTACCAAACACAAATGAGAGAATGAATAAGCATTCAATGGTTGGGACCCAGTAGGAACCTGGAATATGTGAGGGCTCTAAAACCCCCTGTTTTGGAGCTATCTCCAGATATATATGTGCATGGGAATGAAGAGATGTGGGACTAATCTTAATCACTAGAAATATTCTGCATCTGTACTACTTGATATTGTAGCCACTAGCCACATGTTGTGATTGAGTACTTAAATGCAGTGACTACACTTGAACTGAATTTTTATTTAATTTAAATTTAAATAGCCACATATTGGTCAGCACAAACTGAGAACAGGGGCTTTACAGAGTCCATGAGGAGAAGGCAGTGGTGGGAAGTAGGGGAGTTGAACAGCTTTCTCATTAGCCCCTTCAGCTCCATTCCCAAAATACAGATGTTGGAGTGTGAATGGGCTAAGCAGAAGAACACAGGAACAGGAATGTCCTGTGCTAATCCTAATTTAAAGAAAAAAATCATTGTCCAAATTTATTTTTAAGGCGAGAACGTCAGTATTCTTTATGTAGTAGTGAAGATTCTCCTGGCTCTTGTGAAATCCTATACTTCTGCGTGGGTAGTCCTGATCAGCTCATGGTGCACAAAGGGAAATGTATTGGTGAGTAAACTAGCTAAGTTAATTTAAATTATTGTTATGACAAAAGCTGATTGTGAGGAAACAGGGTGGACTAGATACCATGTTGTCTACACCAGCATAGTCCAAAGAAGGCTGTCAAGCAGGCTGTTGGTCATTCTAGCTCCCATTCCTTGTGACTGGAATGAGAAGTTGTTCAGGTTTCCCCTAACATAAAACGGAAGTAAAACTGTGCTGTTGGAAATACTGTTAGCATAAGTAAAATTCTAAATTGGTCATAAAAGTAACTTAAATTTGTCATCAAATTATCTAAGCTTTTTGAAACAAAAAAGGTTTAAATATTATCAATCAGATTTTAAGTCATGTGCTTCTAATACTAATAAAATGTGTAACAAAATGGTTCTAATGCCTCTGATGTTTAATGACCAAATCTCATTTTCTTAAGTTGATATCCATTGATTTGGCATTTTCTTGCGTGGAATGTTGTACCTGGCCAGGAAAATTACTTTATTTTTTATGTCTTATTTACCAGTTTTGTCTATGGATAGCTTTTTGGAGTAAAGCTGGCTCTGCAATTCAGAATTTGAATTGCTTATATTAAAATCAAGTTTTGGGGATCTACTTCCTAAATGTAACTTATCTTTTCTTAGCCATATTGATGTAACTACTAATTGGTGTAAGATTTGCTTGATAATTTGACAGTTGACTTTGATTTTTCATCCCATGAATACTCTTGCCAGAGTTAAAAGATAGCCATATTATCTAGATGGAATTTGCTTTCCTTCAGAGTCTTTATGCCATTTCTCTTTAAGGAGATACAAATAAGCAAAAGAATTGCCAGGGCATAGGCAACAGGTAGACAAAGAACCAAACATCTGAGTAGTCTAAGAACTGGAAATTTAACCTTCACTGACTGAAAGCAGCCTGGACAGTATAGGGCTCTGCATACACAAGGCTACAATACTCACAGAAACTGTTTGGGCAAATTAAGACCATGGTAGAGATAGTTGGCTTGAGAACCAAGACTGTCTTTAATTCAGAGACTTTCAGATTCATAAACTGACAACACAAGCTCCCTAACTTTAATAACCTGGGGAAATCAGGAAGGCAAATTAACTTGGTCTCTTATTCTCACTGGTATTCATTAGACAAATTCACCTTAGTTAATCCCTTCATTGGGAAGCATATTTACAACGGAAGAATTTTTTTATTAAATCATCAAGTAGTGAATAATTTATTTTGTTTTCTCACAATGAGTCTAGTTTTTAAAACATGCCTAAATTTCCTACAAAGTGTTTTTATAAAAGCTAAACTAATTCAATTTTAATGTTCAATGATATGTTTTTATTTTAAAAAAAACCAACTAATTAGTATTTGTTTTTCAATGTAAAGTTGTTAGAACTAGAAAAAAAAGGAACTTACTTACATATGTGGATGAAGCACTATGGAACTGTCTATATATAAACGACCATTACCAAAATATAACAGAGTTTTAATCAGAGTTCTTTTGATAACATTTTCCTTTAGCTTCAGAGCAGTGTGTTCTTCTGTTCCTTTTATCATTTCCATCATGGAAAAAGAGACAAGAGGGTGGCAATAATAAAATTGTAATTTTTTTTTCAAAACCTAGCAATTATGAAGTGCCTTCCTAGTCCGAATTGGAGAAATGAATATTACAGGACAGTGAACTATATAACACACAAATTTAATTAGGCTTGCTGTAGATCACATCAGCCTCCATCTCATAAACATTTAACGTTTCGTCTCCAGTAAACTATATAGTCCCACATTTCTCAGGTTGCTTCCTTTGGCTGACAAATTTTCAAACATCAGAGTTTTTCTCTTAAGCTAAGACTTTCAGGAGTTACTAATACAATAGATCATTTTAATTGAAATCTCTAATTATTAGCATTTCTCTGAAGTAAGAATTACTTCTGAAGTTAAGAAATTTAGGTGAGGCAGTATAGCCATATTTCTCCAAACTACTTTTGCTAAGACTACTTTATTTTATACATACAAGTTACTTCACTTTTCATTTTTCAAGTAGAAAACATAATAATCAGTATTCTTAAATTTTTTTCTTCATTATGAAGAAAAATCAAAGTAGTATTTATATGCTAAAAGAAAAAGAATACTACATATCAGTGGTTCTCAACTGGGGACAGTTATTAGCTGAGGGGACATCTGATGATATCTGCAGTTTCTTTTGTTGTTGTTTGTTTGTTTTGTTGTTGTAGTGCTGGGGATGAAAATCAAGCCCTCACCCATGAGGGAGCAACTGTTCTATGGTTGATCTGTGTCCCAAGTCTTGCAGATATTTTTGATGGTTAAGTCTGGGAGCAGAGGTGTGTGCTGTGGATGAAGGCTAGGCACAAGACAGCATCCTACAACAAAAGATTGTCTGGTGAAGAATCAGTAATGCCAAGGGTGCTATATATGCTATGATTTGGTAAATAGGAAATAAAACAAAATAGTCAGGCCCCATGGCATGAACCTGTAATCCTAGCTATTTGAGAGACTGAGGTAGGATGATAACAAGTTTAAGATCAGCCTCAGCAACATGGTAAGACACTGTTGAAAAATAAATAAATAAAAATAAAGCAAAAGAATGTTTTTCATTTTCTCCAGTATTTTGATACTTTTCTGTTCCAGTCCTTAGTGAAAATGAAGAGTTTCATAAGAAAACTTCTGGTGTTACAAAAATTTAGTTCTCACAGATATAAGTGGAAACCATATGCCTATTACTAAATAAATATGTCTCCCTTTCTAGCTTTAAACTTCCTTCCCTCTAAAACATTGGCCAGTTTTTATTTACAGGGTATGTTCAAAGTTTGTTTTTAGAAAGTCATTGGCGTATTCATATTTTCAAATTTACTAAAAGCTAGTTCTACTGTAGTGTACATTAATCTCTGCACTGTTGGAATAATCATTCCCTTCCTCCCAACGCCCCCCCCACCACCACCACCACCAAGCATTCTACCACTGAGCTAATCCCCAGCCTACTGACGAAATAATCTTTTTTTTTTTTTTTTTTGGTATGAAGGATTGAACCCAAGGATGTTAATCAAGGTCTCGCTAAGTTGTTTAGGGCCTTGCTAAGTTACTGAGGCTGGTCTTGAACTGCCTCAGCCTCCTGAGCCACTGAGATTATAGGCATGCACCACTGCACCCAGCTTGAAATAATCTTGAGGGATATTCTTTATTTCCAAATTCTTTCTGTCATTTGAGTTGGTATTTAGCTATGTGAGGTAGGTCAGTAGCATAGCCAGCAAAGGTGAACTGGTTAGGAAAGTAATAATGGTAAATAATGGTTAACAGAATAAAACATTGTTCTCTTTATTTGACCTGATACTAGCATCTCATTGTCAATTCTTTTTCCTTTATAAAAATTAATATTTTAGGACTCTCAATACATTGTTAAATACTAAAAGTAGTTTACAAAGCACATTATTAAAGAATCATGTTTTTATGGTTAGCACATGGCATCTATTATTGAATGAATGAATATACAGTCCCTCCCTTGTTTCCCTGCATAGAAAACATTCAGTGAGATTTAACTACCTTGTCTATTTAATGTGCAGGCAGTGATGAACAACTTGGAAAATTAGTTTACAATGCATTGGAAACAGCCACTGGCAGCTTTGTCCTGTTGTATGAGTGGGTCCTTCAATGGCAGAAAAAAATTGGTCCTTTCCTTACCAGTCAAGAAAGAGAGAAAATTGATAAGTGCAAAAAGCAGGTAAGTATTCACCATGGCTGGCTAAGCAAAAGGCCAATCTAAAGTAAATGGAGATGGTAGAACAAAAGAGTTCTGTGTTTGGGCTCCGAGATGATCCAGAGTGGATGAGTTCTGTTTAACCAAGAGAGGACTAGAGGGCAAGCATCTTCTTCAAAGTTTTCTTAGCCTTGTTCCCTCTTTGAGAACTTCACAATATGGACAAAACTTCTGCAGTTGCCTTCTTGCTCTCCTTTCTCAGCCCTTATGGCATTAACAACCATCACTCCAACTATTTCAAAGTTGTATGGGTTTTTTTTTAATTGTTTTTTTTTAGTTGTCAATGGACGTTTTTTATTCATTTATTTATATGTGGTGTTGAGAATCGAACCCAGTGCCTCACACATGCGAAGCAAGAGCTCTATCATTCAGCCCCAACCCCAGCCCAAAGTTGTGCTTTTTCTTTTCTTTTTTTTTAAAGAGAGAGAGAGAGAGAAAGAGAGAATTTTTTAATATTTATTTTTTTAGTTTTCGGTGGACACAACATCTTTATTTTATTTTTATGTGGCGCTGGGTTCGATCCTCAGCACCACATAAAA